AACAGCTGGATTTTTTTCCTAATGCATATTCAGCCTACATATTCCCAGCATAGACCAAAGCTCTAATTTCATGGCCCTTGGGTTTCTGCTCTACGTATCATTTCCTCTTTGTTTTATTTGATATTTTGAGAGGGGGAGTACATGTTTTAATGCTCTTCTATAAATTATATAAAGTTCACAATCACTGTTCCAACCTTGTTTTCAACCTGACTCTGAAACTATGCACCTTTCCCCCAGGCACCAGGCTCTTTCATGCAAGTCTTCTCTCCCACATTTTCTTTCATTTGCCTCACTCTTTCATCCCTGAAAGCGTATACTATCATCCCCTCTTCTAAGAAACCTTCTTCCATTCCTTCGCAAGCTAATTTAGGTGTCCTTACCTCTGCTTTCACTGCCAGATGCATCACTCATTACACCATATGGACTTATTCAGTTTCTGAATTGTTTCTTCAAGGGGAATATCACAGTTCAACCTACATCACCAGTGTCTCAAAAGGCCTACCACATACTAGGCCCTCAAGGGAGGGAACAAATGAATACGATGAGCCTCAGTTCTGCAAAGTCTGGCTTTATATTTTCTTGCCTCTGTTATCAACAGATCTCATGTAGATGTTATTATCAATACTAGTGCACTAGTATGGAGTTCTTGTGTAGTACTAGTGTAGGGTACAGGCTTTAACGCCAGACTTCCTGTGGCCACAGCTGATCTCTGCCTAGTTTCCTAGTTGTGTGAACTTCATATCTCTGTGCCCCAGTTTCCTCATCTGTGGATGGTATAATGAGAGTACTTACCTTAGAGAGTCATTCTGGGAATTAAGTGAGTTAACTGTGTAGGGTTTGGCCCCTAGAGGTTGCTCCATAAGTGTTAGTTATTATCACCAACCATCTAAATCACCGCCAAAACCCCTTTGCAGACTCAGATGCATTTCATGAGCAATACATTCTGCAGGAATGGTTAGTGCTATTAATAGTCATTGACTCTTAAGAGAGATTCATGTGGACTTTGCCTGTTGGTGCTTCCATTATGTACTCTAAGAGATCAGTAACTGAGGGTATCTGGGGATTGACAAAAAGGTTAAAAGCTTCACCAGGGAATGACTTCTGTAGCAAGAGAATGTGTTTATCATATTTTAGTTAGATTGTATTTGCTTTTGATGAATGAGTGAGCTTTCTGGAGACAGGGTGAAGACATATTGGTGGAGTGATTGGATATGTGATTTCCTGGAGTCTTAGCATTCTCAGCCTTGAGGGGCTGTGTGTGGCAAAGTTGACGGCCTGAAAATATCTATCCTTTTAAGAGCACAAGGCTAGACAGGATTTTTTGCAGAAACTGATAAGTTGGTTCTAAAATTTGTATGGAATTATGAAAGACTTAGAATAGCCAAAACAATCTTAATGAAAGAACAAAGTTGGAAGGCTTTCATTTCCCGATTTCAAAACTTACTCTGTAGAACTACAGTGAACAGAGTCTAAATTGTTGGAAGGATAGACACAGAGATCAATAGAAGAGAACTGAGTCCATAAATAATTTTTTTTTAATATTTATGTTGCACTGATTTTTGACAGGGGTGCTAAGGCAATTCATTAGACAAAAAAAATAGCCTACTAACAACTGGAGATCCACATGGGAAGAGTTGAACATAGATGTTTACCTTATACCATATGTAAAAATGAGCTCAAAATGGAGCATAGACTTATATGTAAGAGCTAAACAAGCAAACTTTTAGGGGGAAAAAAACAGAAAATCTTTAAGACCTCAAGTTAGGCAAAGATTTCTTACTTATGTGAATGAAAAAGACACAGTCTATGAATGAATGAACAAAAAAAATTTGCACTTTGAAATACAGCATGAAAAAAATGAAAAAACAAGCAATGGACTGGGAGAAAACATTGTAAATCATATTATCTGATGAAGAATTTGTATTGAGAATATATACTCATACACCTCACTAATAAGTAAAAAATTCATTTTAAAAATGGACAAAATATTTAAATAGAAAATTTACCCAAAAATGTATACACAGGACTAATGAGCACATGAAAAGACGATCCATGTCATTAGTCATCAGGGAAATGCAAATTAAAACCACAATGATATGCCACTTCATACCCACTTGAAAGTCTAAAAAAGACAGTCAATATTGGTGATGATGTCAGAAATGGGACCCCTCACACATGCTACCAGGAATGTAAAATAGTGCTGTCATTTTAGAAAGTAATTTGGCGTTTCTTAAAAACATGCTTACCATGCAATCCACCAATTCCACTCCTAGGTATTTCCCAAGAGAAATGAAAAGAGTTGTCCAAAGAAAGATTTTCACACAGATGTCCTTAACAATTTTATTCATAATAGCCAAAAATTAGAAGCAACTGAATGTCCATGAACTGGTCAATGAATAGATACAATGTGATCTGTCCATACAATAAACTATTTCACTGAAAGCAGTGAAGGAAGAACGAACAATTGATACAAGTTGTAACGTGGACAAATCTGAAAATCATCATATTAAATGGAAGATGTCAGACACAAGAGCCAATACACTGTATGGTATATAGTGTGTTGATTCCATTTATAGAAAATGTCTGTTAAAGGAAAAAAAAATTTTTTTACAGTTGTTAAACAGTTGTAAGTACTTTATTAGATGCAAAGACAGTGATGGTTGTATAAGCATAGGAAAACATCAGAATAGTCACTGAAACATACGATCATTTCTGTTTAGAGGGCAAAAATCACCTGCTACTTTCCCTCCTGCCCAAATAATACAGTGAGTGAAAAGGAATCATTCAGGGAAGTCTTAGAGAACATTAAGAACATTTGAAAAAATTTAAAATTTTAAGCCAGCTCAGAATGTAAAATACTTAGCTTATTTCATGGTATGTGAGAAAAGTAAAGCCTGCATTGTATATGTTTTCTGTTAAAGGAAAATTTATAGAGACAGAAAGATTGATGGTTGCGTAGTGCAGTGTGAGGGGTAGGAGACAAGGATTAATAGTGGATATGAGGGTTCCCGTTGGGATGATAGAAATGTTCTATCTGATTTGTGCTTTATGGTGTTGCTTGCACAACGTGATAAATTTACTAGAAACCATTGATTGTCCACGTGAAATGAGTAAGGTATATGGTATGCAAAATATATTTCAGTAAATTCGGAGGAGGTAGTATGGGTTGGGGGGATGGAAGGATGGAGGAGGAGAAAGAAAGAGGGAGGAGAGAGAGAGAGCATGAGAACAGGACTGCATGAAGTCAGGCTGTTTGGATCTGAAACCTAGCAAGTCTAGACCTCTCTTTGCCTCAGTTTCCTGTCAGTGAGGTTGGGGGAAATAATAATTAGCTTATCCACAAAGTAGTGTTGGAAAGATTGTGATAAGACGTAAACAATGCTTAGCACAAAGTTTGGACCATAAAGACAGAGCAATAAATATTAGCCATTGTAATAATAATTATTATTATTGATGGTAGTGTTTAACCTGCCAAGGATCCAGCTCATTTAGATCAACTTAGTTCAAATTCTGGAGAAGGATTTGGACTGCGGCTGCAGAAGGCAGGGACTGATCTTATGGAAATGACTCCGGGGGAGTCTGAGAGTCTAAAGCACAGGGCCGGTCAGTCCCCTGCAAGTTGGGAGACTGGACCTCTGGAGCCTCACAGATGCAGGCTGTTTCTTCCTGGCAGCAGCATTCATGGACGGGTCATCCTGCCACCATTAATGTGGGAGCAGCATGTGCTGTTTCTACTCCAGTCCAACAAGGATTTTTCACTGCTGCATGCCAGATCGCTTTGGCTTGGAGGACAGTGGATATGGGGGCACAGAGAAGGGACACCCAACCTTGTGTATGAGGGCTTCTAGAGGAAGTGATGTCTCTGTGAGACTTGAGAATACCTTGGCATTTCCCAGATGAAGGGTGAGGAGAGTTACCCAGGCAGAAGACACAGCTTGAGTAAACCCCAGAAGTGACAGGGAGATTGCAGAACTCAGTGAAGAGCTGATAGGAAGAGCAGAGTGGCAAGAAGCAGGGCTGGAGTCACACAGAATATCTTCTGTGCCATGATAAAGAATTTGGGTTTATTCTGAAGGCAGTGAAGACCAGGGAAGAGCGCTAAGCAGGTTCTAGGACTGGCTCAGTTACCTTCAGTTCGATGGTCCCAATGGCATTTAACACACTGCTCCCTGACTGAGCCTGCTCTGTGGATGAGACGCATGCCCTCCTAGAGGCATAGGGCTTGGGTTTTGCATTTAGCCTCCTCAAGTGCAAATGTTCCTCCAAGGACCACATCCGTACTGGTGTCTGGTGCAAAAACTGCTTCAACTCTCCCAAGAGAGGCATAAGAGGCCCTAATGCAGTGGCCGAGAGCCTGTCTTGGTGGCCAGACCTCAGAAAAGAAGAGGACTTGTGGGTGTTTGACACACTTCGCCGTGGGTGCTTGCTCTGGCTGAGAGCCCATTAATAAGCCCAGCGGCCAAGGGACAGGTATTGTGCCGGTTACTATGGCATCACCTTGGAAAGGATCCCTCAGTGAAAGCCACTGCCGAGCTGAGTGAGGCAGGAGGGGAATGTGGTCAGAAGCAGCAGGAGGGGCTGGAGATCAGCTGCAGAGGCTTTCGCTGTTCGAGAGGCTTTCGCTGGTCGCAGGACACTTCGGGGGCTGGAGCCCCCTTTAGCTTCTCCCGCTGCAGCCCAGGGAGGGAGCTGGGCTGCGATCAGTCTGAGAGTGGCTGCCTGAGACAGCACCACAGGCTGCTGCTGAGCTGGGAGCTGAGAGGGGCTGAATTCGCAGTCACAGATCATCTGGCCTCTCTTGTTTTGGGGGGTGGGTGTTGTGTCTCATCTGGAAAGATCTGGGCTGGGTTTCATTGCCTTTTTTATTTTAAATAGTCACCTCCCTGAGAACTGACTTCCAGGTGTTCATCGAGGAAAGCAGAGTGGTCCCCATGCTGGAAATGAAGGATGAGAGTTCCTGAGACTGACTGTTGAAGGCTTGGAGGTACCCCCGTCTCACAATGCCTTTTAAAGCATTCGCTACCTTCAAAGAAAAAATTTTGAAACCTGGAAAGGAGGGCGTGAAGAACACTGTGGGAGATTCGTTGGGGATTTTACAAAGGTAAAGTTTGAATGCAAACTTTAGGTTTATTTCAAAGTAGTTTCACATTGCTGCTGGTGTTTGAAAGAATTTGCCTCCTGTTTTTAAAGCTACATTTTAAAAAGGAGTGAGAGGGTCAGAATAAAGGGCTTCTGGAGCCCCTTCCAGCTCCAACAGACTATACCTGGAGGAAAAGAAGATGCATCAAAAGGATAAGGTTGAATTAGGAAAACACCACAACATGCAGCAAGATTAGCACTTATTGGATACAGTAATATTGCAAGTTGTGTGTTTGTCAATGAATTAGAAAATATTTGGGGATATAACACTTTATGTTAATTCAATAGTAACAGCAAAACCAGGAACTGCTTTACATGGTTATGCTTTGAGTTGAAATAATTTTTAAGAATTTTTCACTGTAAATGAAAGTTAGGTATTTTCAAATTGTATAGCTTGTAATATAAACTGTATGAAGGGATTCTTTATTGTGTAGTTTTCAAAGAGAAGGATTATTGCACAATAGTATGAAGAAAGTAACTTTAAAAATTAGTATTTAAAGCAGAAAATCTTACATGATTAAGTGGGAAAGTGTTAAGTGGTGTCATTGGATTGAATGTTTTTGTCCAAACAAAAAAATAGATCTTTTTTTAAAGTAAAATATATTATTATTGGAAGGAGAATTTGCTATAAATGAATGAATTGATGTGATATTTAATTTGTGATTTTTAAAATAGACATAGTAAATGCCCTCCTAGGTTTTATAAATGAATTAATAAGCAGTCCTTATGTGCAAGGTAAAATGATTCTTTTAATTTCTTTGATATAAATAAATGTGAGAATAACTTTGATAAAATTTTTATCATTATTTCTAATTATGATGAATGAAAATTTCCCTTGGTATCTGCTTTTAACTTTTCTATCTATGTTTTCTCATAAATTTAAAAACTAGCCCACAGATTCATTCCACTTCTTGTGTTTTATAATGCACAGGCTCCCGCCAGTGTTAATTTTTCCACTGTATCCCTTTGGTGAGCTTAGCAAGAGAACTGGGTTGGGCACCTTATTACTTTGGTAATTAAAAACAAAAAGTTTCAGTCAGAACTACACTGAATTATCGTGTATAAATGAAAACCTACCTCAGTGACAGCAGGATAAACCAGCTAAACACAGGAAATGATTATAATAACATTTTCTTTTAAGAGTGTTTTATTCCTCTGTCAAGCACTCCCAGGTAATGTTTTCATTTGATTAAAAATGCAAAAGGAAGCACTGTGGCTTAATTGGCATATTCAAGTGATGACAAATATTTAGCTTTATATAAATACTTAGGAGTATTCTTTTTTAACTTTAGCTGCTTTTTAAAATTTAATCACTTTTCTCAATCCTAAGTGCTTTTTTTACTATGTTTGATTGAATGATCCACTTGAATATCCTTTTGTTTACCAGATTGGTTTTCTTAGGGATATAACAAAATCAGTAATTTTCAAGTTGTGAGACTTCAACCCCAAATTAAGCTATGTGTCTATTACTCTGAAGAGTTTTCTCAGAATTGGCTCACTGAACAATCAAAAAAAAAAAAAAAAACCTGCTATCATAGTTCTAGATAGAGAGCACACTAAATAATGCTAGATGTTATCATTGTTGTCGTAATTATAGAATGATTGAGTTTAGAATAAAGCCAAATTCATACCTTGTCTTTCAGTGATCCCTAGAGAGAAATTATTGGCAGAGGTAGGCATTAGCTGACTGGCGATCTGAACTGATCCTCAACTCTAGTGGTCTTTGAGCAGAGCTCCAGAATTAGGGTTCCTCCAGCAAAGACAGCTTTGCTGTTTTAACACTTGGTGTTAACCTCAAGTCTATATATATAATGCTTTGCCCAGAACCTGGTATGTAATGGATGTTTCTTCCCCTCGTTGATTTTTACATAAAACCAGTTGACAGGATCCAGTGTAAGAAAAAAGTCATAAAGAAATGTTTTCTGTTTTGTAAGGGGCAGAAACATTGGGGAGTTAAGAATCCTGACTTTCTAACTTAGTAGTCAGTATAAATCATAGATGTCTAATAATGTTTACTACTGAGATCATCATCTAAATGGAATTTTCTGTATGCTTTTGAACTATGGCGTATTCCTTATGGTCAAGGGAGAGGTAAATGCATAGAGAAGTATCTGAAGTTCGCACATGGGGCTGATTACAGCCAGACACTTAGTCTCCCTGGAGAGCAGTCATCGATAAGAAGCAGCTGAGCAATTCATCAGCTAAAGGTACATTAATATTTTTGAAATGTAGGAAGAAAGATGATGTGTTCACTTATCGTCCACTATTGGAACAGATAGAAGGCATACCATTTGGAAACTAATGTCCAGAAACTTATATACAGACTTTTTTCAGCTTAAATGATGAATGTTCTCTAATTGCTTATGTGTAGTAAATGAGAGTAATAAACACTATGTTCCAGGTACCATTAATTCTATTAACAACCCTATGAGGGAGGGCCAATTATAATCACAGTTTTACGGATGAGAAAACTGAGGCACAGAGAGGTTAAGTAATTTGCCCAAGGCGACACAGCTTGTAAGTGGCAGAGCTGGGTTTCAGACCAGACATTTTGTGCCCATCTTTCTTAATCATTACACTGTGCTACCACTCAAATCAACTGTCTGGTGGTGGAAATTCATTTAATCTTAACCACAGGTCTATAAGATAAGTATCATATTCATTCACGCCAGAAACTCATGGATACCACTGAGGCTGCACATTTATATAGAGTCTTATGATCTGAATAGCTCTTAGATATCAATATGAATGGCAGTAAATGGCATTTATGCTCATCCTAGCAGAATGGACTCATTAAGTGATTATGAGGATTAATGTGATAAAAATAGTGGGCACATGTTAGGTTCTGCTCTAAATGATCTATGCTGTTGTTGTTTAGTTCCTAGGTCGTGTCCAACTCTCTGTGACCCCACAGATTGCAGCACACTAGGCTCCCCTGTCCATGGGATTCTCCAGACAAGAATACTGGAATAGGTTGCCATGCCCTCCTCCAGGGGATCTTCCCGACCCATGGATCGAACCCAGGTCTCTTAGATCTCCTGCATTGGCAGGCGGGTTCTTTTACCACTAGTGCCACCTGGGAAGAGAGCTCAGAGAGGTTAACTAGGCCACACAGCTAAGTAAATGGAAGAGTGAAAATTCAAACTAAGGGACACCGATGCATAGATTGGATGGAGATTGGAGAAGAGATGCATCCAGGATGTCACCCAAGTTTTTTTTTTTTTTTGAGCAAACAAAGGAACAAAATTGTCTTTACTTGAAATGTGAAAAGCTTCAAGAATTAACTTTTTTTTTTAGAGGAACTCAGTTTGGATATGTTAGATTTGAGATGCTGATCATGTGTCCACAAAGATGTCAAATAAATCTAGATATGAAAATTGAAATCTGTTAGCATATGCATGGTGTCTAAAGCCCAGAGATGAGTGAGGTCACCTAGAAAGTACAGACAGAAAACAAAAGAGATCTATAAACTGAGCCCTGGGCATCCCAGGTTTACAGGTTGAGGAAGTAACACATCAGCTTCAGAGACAAAACAGGAGTGTTCAGGGGATTAGGAGGACCACCAAGTGAGCGTGGTATCCATGAAGGAATCAAAGTCGTCAAGGAAGAAAGAATAATCAGTAGTGTCAAGTGCTGCTGACAGGTCAACTAGATGAGGACTGGAAAGAGCCTTTGGGCTGAATCATGTGGACTCGGTTGACTCACTGGAAAAGACCCTGATGCTGGGAAAGACCGAAGCAGGAGGAGAAGGGGATGACAGAGGATGAGATGGTTGGATGGCATCACTGACTCAATGGACATGGGTTTGAGCAAGCTTCAGGAGTTGGCGATGGACAGGGAAGCCTGGCGTGCTGCAGTCCATGGAGTTACAAAAAGCCAGACACGACTGAGTGACTGAACTGACCTGAACCACGTGAAGGGCATTGACAGCCCAAGAAGGGCAGTTTTGGTGGACAGGTTGGGGGATATACCTGTTTGGAGTGTGTCCAAGAGAGAGTGGGACAAAGGGAAGTGAGACAGTGACTTCTGAGTTTCTCTATAAAAGGGAGGTGAGAAATAGGTAGGTAGCTGAAAGAGAACATGTTTTTATTTTAAATGTTGATGTGCAACAAATAAGGGCATATTTGTAGACAGTAAGAATGTTCTAGTAGAGAGGAGTAAATAATTGATGAAATATGTGGATAGGGATTTCCTTGAGTACATGAGAGGCAATAAGATCTAGTACCCAGGGAAAGAGGTTGGCCTTATCTAGAAGCTTGGAAGACAATCATAGAAGAAAACGTAGAACACATCAGTATACATACAGGTAGGTTACAAAAGCACATTGGGGAGGTTGATGATGTTCTCTTCTGATTACTTTCATATTCTTGCATATTTATTAAGCTACCATTCTGACCTCATAAATTAAAATTGAAAGTTCCTTTCCTGTTTTATCACTGCACTTCACCTTGATTTCAAGAAAACCTGCGTCATCCAGCAATCACAACTGTGTACGTGTCTTTCTTGCTCTAAGAGCTGAAGGAGATCAGAAGCCGTGTCACTTCTTTCTCCTTCTGTCACACTCAGTACAGGGCCTGATACGCCGTAGGCACTCAGTAAACGTTTGATGAGCTGAATTAAATCCAGTGTTTGCGCTCTCTCAGCTCGGTTGCTCAGTCGTGTCCGACTCTCTGCAACCCCACGCTCTCTCTCCATGTGCTTTAATCTCATGTGCTTGCGTCTAAGAAGCTACTAAGATGATCTCTACTATGAATTGGTGGGCAAATTATTCGTGCTTCTACGTAGTCTGTTAGACATTGTATTAGTTATTAGTGAATATGATACTCTTGAAAACATATAAGCTTTGATTATTTTCACAAAGACTCAGACCTTAATCGGGTATCTTCAGAAGGGTTATGATACGTGTGATGATGCAAACAGCTCCTTTTATTATTGACAGATAGTGTTCAGTTTGCCCAATTACTTTCTTTTTTTAAAGAAGAGAGTAAATTCACTGTAATGGATGGACTACCATAATCTGAATTTATGGGACTCAATGAGAAATCATGCCCTCTGTTTAAAGAGTGCCAGAGAATCACCTTAGAACCACTTAAGAAAGAACAGATACACAACCAACTGGTTTGTGCTGTAATGGAAAATGTACGTCCTTACCTAGTATTTTCATAAGACTTAGAAAAAGAAGAAAAAAGAATCTGAAAATAAATTGATTTTTTACTGTATATCTTTTATCAGGCTTCAAGTGACATTAAAATTAAAGTCAAACATAACAGTCAGCTGGGTCATGCCATGTGGATGAAGTTTATAGATACTCTTTCAGCAGGATATTCAGATATTCAGTAAGGCATATTGTTGAGGATACAAACTCTGGACTTGAACTTGCATCCTATCTCAGAGGACTTAGTGTTTTTGTCTATAAATGGACAAGATAACACTATCTACCTTGTGTAGCTGTTATGAGATTAAAATAAATTAATGTCTATAAGGGTGCAGCAACACAATATCCAGAATATCAATAAATCTTAACCACTATAATTTATTTTAGTAATAATAATGATGATGATGATGCTAAAACATGCAGGATGCATCCTACTCTGGGTTTTCCTTTTTCTTTCTTGGTACAATTTTTCTCCTTGCCTACTACACTTTGTAATCCTGGTCTTTCTTCCCTGCCCATTTGTCCGCTGTAGGAAAATTGATGGGACCCATGAGGAAGAAGGTAACATTGAGCTGAATGAAGAAGGGAGGCCAGTGCAGACGTCCAGACAGAGGCCCCCACTCTGTGACTGCCACTGCTGTGGGGTCCCCAAGCGCTACATCATTGCTATTATGAGCGGACTGGGGTTCTGCATCTCCTTTGGGATTCGGTGCAATCTTGGAGTTGCCATTGTGGAAATGGTCAATAACAGCACTGTGTATGTTGATGGAAAACCAAAAATTCAGGTCAGTGTCTCTCTATGCCTATGTCAATGTCTTTTGGCAACAACTGTATTAATGTTTTAAATTCTTAAAGTAAAACACATAGAGGACTTCCCTGGTGGTCCAGTGGTTAAGACTCTGCACTTCCACTGCAGGAGATGAGAGTTTGATCCCTGGTCGGGGATCTAAGATCCCCCATGCCACATGGTGCAGCCTAAATAGATAGTAAATTTAAAAAAAACTTTAGAAAACACATAGGATCACAAAGGAAACCAATTATTTTAAATACAGGTAACAAACTATTGAAGAATTGAATTTGTGATATAGAAACATATGGCTTTCTTTATGAACACATCAGATGACAAAATCTAGCAATGGGTCTAATAATTTCTGTAATTTTGCTGTTTGAACAGTGAACAGTAGTTTGAGATAATGGCAACAGCCATCGTGGGATATGAGCATATTTACAATTTCCTCTAGTAATAGGATCACAGGTCCTGATAATATGACTGGGGTTTGTTGCCTACATTCATAATTATAGGAAATGCTGCTTTATTAGTTAGTAGCAATAAAGATGCTGACTTTTGCCCATCCAAGTTCATAGATCCACAGGATTCCATCCACAGACTCCAGTTAAGAATCCTGGTAAAAGGATAGAATGAGGTAAGCATCAGAAGAAGGAGGTAACAGGTAAAGTGGGGTTAGGTTGTGGAGAGCCCAGCAAGTCTAAGGGGAGTCAGGCGTGGACTTTAAGCAGAGAGATGGTACCATCAGATCCGTACTCCAGGATGATCGCTGTCCAGCCAGCCATCTCCCAGTGGATCAGGACTGCAGTGAATAGAAGCACAAGGCCCCATTCAAAGGCTCTCGTGGTCATAAGCAAGCCTATAGTGATGTCACTTAAACAGTACTACTTTCATGAATCACTGAAAAGATGAAATCTGGTTTGTTTCTTAAATGATAAGCCTTGAGAAGTAGTGAGATTATGGGAGGATAAAACAAAAACGTATGCCCGGTGGATACCCAATATATCTGTTTCATTGTGTTGAATGCACACACTGGAGTGACGCGTGTGGAAATCCATCTGTTTGCAGAGAGACTTCTAGCACTGTGTACATGACCTTCCCCAAGTGCCTACTACCCCTTCTCCCCGAGCCCTGGCAACCATAGTTCATTTTCTAAGTCTGTGAGTCTCTTTCTGTTTTGTAAGTAAGTTCATTCGTATCCTTTTTTTCAGATTCCATGTATAAGGGATGTCATATTTCTCCTTCTCTGTCTGGTCTGATTTACTTCACTCAGTATGACACTCTCTTGGTTCATCCCTGCTGCTGCATGTAGCATTATTTCATTCTTTTTAATGGCTGAGTAATATTCCATCATGTATATGTACACATCATCTTCATCCATTTCTCTGTTGATGGACATTGAGGTTGCTTCCATGTCTTTTTTTAAAAAATTTATTTTTATTAACTTATTTTACTTTACAACATTGTATTGGTTTTGCCATACACTGACTTGAATCCTCCATGGGTGTACATGTGTTCCCCATCCTGAACCCCCCTCCCACCTCCCTCCCCATCCCATCCCTCTGGGTCATCCCAGTGCAACAGCCCTGAGCACCCTGTTTCATGCATCAAACCTGGACTGGTGATTCGTTTCACATATGATAATATACATGTTTCAATGCCATTCTCCCATATCATCCGGCCCTCGCCCTCTCCCACAGAGTCCAAAAGACTGTTCTATACATCTGTGTCTCTTTTGCTGTCTCACATACAGGGTTATTGTTACAATCTTTCTAAATTCCATATATATGCATTAGTATACTGTATTGGTGTTTTTCTTTCTGGCTTACTTCACTCTGTATAATAGGCTCCAGTTTCATCCATCTCATTAGAACTGATTCAAATGAATTCTTTTTAATGGCTGAGTAATATTCCACTGTGTATATGTACCATAGCTTTCTTATTCATTTGTCTGCTGATGGGCATCTAGGTTGCTTCCAGGTCCTGGCTATTATAAACAGTGCTGTGAAGAACATTGGGGTACATGTGTCTTTTTCAGATCTGGTTTCCTTGGTGTGTATGCCCAGGAGTGGGATTGCTGGGTCATATGGCAGTTCTATTTCCAGTTTTTTAAGGAATCTCCACACTGTTCTCCATAGTGGCTGTACTTGTTTGCATTCCCACCAACAGTGTAAGAGGGTTCCCTTTTCTCCACACCCTCTCCAGCATTTATTGCTTGTAGACTTTTGGATAGCAGCCATCCTGACTGGCGTGTAATGGTACCTCATTGTGGTTTTGATTTGCATTTCTCTGATAATGAGTGATGTTGAGCATCTTTTCATGTGTTTTTGTGCCATCTGTATGTCTTCCTTGGAGAAATGTCTGTTTAGTTCTTCGGCCCACTTTTTGATTGGGTCGTTTATTCCATGTCTTGGCTAGGGCTTCCGTGGTGGCTCAGATGGTAAAGAATCTGCCTGCAGTGCGGGAGATCTGGGTTAAATACCTGGGTTGGGAATGTCCCCTGCAGGAGGGCATGGTAACCCACTCCAGTATCCTTGCCTGGAGATCCCCATGGACAAAGGAGCCTGGTGGGCGACAGTCCATGTGGTTGCAAAGAGTTGGACACGACTGAGTGACTAAGCGCACACACATGCACACACGCACATACACACATACACATGCACGTGCACACATGCACACGCACGTGCATGCACACGCACACACGCACACACACACGTATTGCCTATTGTAAACTGCTGCCATGAACATTGGGGTGTATGTATCCTTTCAGATCATGTTTTTCTCCACATATATGCCCAGGAGTAGGATTGCAGGGTCATAAGGGAGCTCTATGTTTAGTTTGTTAAGAAACCTCCATATTGTTCTCCATAATGGCTATACCAATTTACATTCCCACCAACAGTGCAGCAGGGTTCCTTTCTTGCAGAGAGAGTTCTCATAGTTTGCCAGTCCCTACCCATGTTTGGGAAAACATTTAGATGAGAGTTTCCCAAACTGGTGTCTGGACACCACTGTTCTGTAGGCTGTGCTTTGAAGAAGGATCATATGAACTAGGAACCTTTACTGTGCTGCTTCCTGTGAGAGTCTCCAAGACGGGGCTGTGGTGTGCATTATTTCCTGGGCTTAACTGCAGAATGCTTTCCTTCATGCTGTGTCTATCAGCATTACCTGGAACAGTTTCTGCCAAATACTGGTTAGTGAAAATTTAATTTCTGTTCATTAAAAAGAAGTCTTTAGTTGGCCTGCAGATTCCCTCACCCTTTCCCTTTTTTAACCAAGAGATTATTCTACCAGAAGAAAAGGGTACCATGGAGATTCTTCTAACCATTCTGTTTTTTATGCCACAGTTGAATCTGTTTTTAAAAGGATATCCTGGTTGTTTATTTTGGGGAGAGGGGCAGGGAGGGCAGTAGAGGTGTAAAAGGGATGTCATACATTTTAAAAATAAAGAATGATGGACATTAATGAGGTTTCAGATGTGTATCACATGCATTCTGGCAGCCTTTTGTGAGGAAAGGCAGCTAATTAAACTTGTCTGCTAAGGCCTGGATCAAAATGAGATGCTGGTTTGCATTTGTTTGTTGCATGAAAGGATAGGCCTAGGTCAACAGAATTTGCTTTGAGGCAAATGGAAAAGGCATTTTGATAAACTTAAGGAACAATGCTGTGTGTGCACTCTAGTTTCTATGGTTTTGCCCTCTGGAGTCTTAGAGAAACTGATTAAGATCTAAAATATGCTTTATATCATTTTCTCTGGCCTCATAAGTAAGAGTTTAGTAGCATTTCAGAAGTTCCAATTTATAGCAGGCCATTTCTCTCTTATTCAAACAGAACAAAGCTTACATATCATCTGAGCATGTCCAAACCAATGACAAAGATTTCACTAATTGTATTAAGAAAGCCTCTCAATGGCTGGTAATTTTGTTTGGTTGGCTTTATGGGAGAAAAACTAGGTATTTTGCACTGAGATATTTTAAAATCTTCATTTTCAATAGAGGGAGAAAAGTTAGTGGTGTGAATAGGTGTGTGTGCTCAGTTGCTCAGTCATGTCTGACTATTTGCAGCCCCATACACTGTATAGCCTGCCAGGCTCCTCTGTCCATGGAAATTTCCAGGCAAGAATATTGGAGTGGGTTCCATTTCCTACTCTAGGTATAAATAGGTAGGCCTTGCAAATAACTGGCGTATATTCTGCTAGTCGTATAAATGGTAGCTTCAGTTGATATGTGAATCATAATCATTTTTTAGTTTAATAATTATGAGTTTTAAGACATGTGAATCACTTAGCACAGTGTCTGGCATGTGGTAAACAATAAATGACTGAAGTCTGAGAAACTTGGAGGTTAGTTCTCACTACCCTCAGGGAAAATCCAAACTCTGAACTCTGTAGGTTAAGAAGAATCGGGCTTTGGAATCTGCCGGACCTGGTTTCAAACTTGACTCTGTTGTTTATTAGCTCTGGGACTTTGAGCAAGTTGCCCTTCTGTCCTGGTCAGGGACTGCCGGTTGCAAAGAACAGAAATGGGAGCCAGCTCAGGTTAAAAAGGACATGACTGCAGGGCTCTGGGGGATCTCAGGAAGGTGAAGGCTGGGAAGCTGTCTGCTTTGCACGCTTGTGCAGCCTGTGCCCCAGATGAGGGCGGCAGCCTGAGGGGGGCTGAGATCCAGGGGGTGCCGCACTGTGGGAGGAGGGGCAGAGGGAGCCGGGCCTCCCGGGAACTAGGAATGCCTCAGCTTACTCTCCGACTTGCTGGCCTTTCAGGGTCTTACATCTGCTTCTCTCTGAGCCGGCTCCATTCTCCCAGGCCTCTCCATGGACTGCTTTTGTTTTTTCAAACAAATCTCACTGCTCTCCAAAGCAGAAGTCCCTCAAGCCGTTGCCTTGCTGGGGGGCTGGCTTACCTGGCCCTGACTCCAGTGGAGCTTGCTTCAAGTGTGCAGTATTGTCTCGCTAGAGTCTCTGGCTTCAGATTAGAGAGACAGAAAGAGGAAGAAGAGAGAGAGACAGACAGGCAGGCCGAGTCCAGCCTACACGTTGGCTCCCTCTATTCAGGTGCCCACCCGCAGTCACAGGGGAGAGGCCCTTGGCACTGAGGAGGGAGGAGAATCCTCTTAGAAGGAAATGTGAGCAGGGAGGTAGGAACTGGCATTTCTAGAAATTCTTTACCAAGTCTCCTTGCTATATTGTGAAATGAGAATAAAAGGCCTGATGTGCAGATCAAATGAGATAATCTGGTACCAATATATTAAACACCTCTATTACTTTCCTATGACTGCTATAACAAATGACCATGAACATGTGGCTTAAAAACAATGGGAACTTAGTCTCTCATAGTCAGGGAGGCTAGAAACCAACTGGACTTTGGAGGGAGCCGCACTCCCTCCAAAGGCTCCAGGGGAGAATCCGTCTTTGCCTTTGGCAGCTTTGGCGGCTCCAGGCATTCCTTGGCTTGTAGCAACATCACTCTAGTCTCTGCCTCCATCTTCACATGGCCTTCTTTCCTCTTATGTCTCAAGTTTCCCCCTGCCTTTCTCTTACAAGGACACATCATCAGATTTAGGGCCCAGTTAGATAATCCAGAGAAACTCACCTTGAGATCCTTGACTTTATCACATCAGCAAAACCCATAGGATGACAACGGAAACAAAACCCCTTACACAGCTCTCAGACCGTGGAAGCCTTCCTCACTTTCTTTCCCAGCAAAGAAACTCACCCTTTCCAGATTCCTTACAAATCTCCCTCCTCTGAGGAAGCTCTTCAGCTGCCCTGAATTGAAGTGCTCACTTTTCCTAGGCCTTGGTCCACAGACCAAGTTCTTGCAGTCATGGCACCCACCCTGTTCTCAAACTAGCCTGTCATCATAACAACAACAATAGCTGCTAACGTTTGCTGAGTCTACACCATGCTCCAGGCATTATCCTAATGTGTTAAATGCAAAAATCTCTAAGCAGAGGAATAACCTACTAGAAATATTCATGGCATTTATCCCCAGACATCCTATGGGTAGGTAGGTTTTATTATCTTCATAAAGAAATGAGAGGCATGACTGTCATTCCCTTAGCGCTCTGACTAAACTGGTACCTAAATAGCCCAGTAAACCTAGAATTTACCTTTTGTTTTCTTTACAGGTTGTTTAATTTTCTTCTTAGCCTTCATCATTCTGTTTTAACTTGTTCACGGTCGCTCCTTTCTCTCACTAGGAGTTGAGCTCAGTGACAACAAGGACGTTGCTGTGTCCCTGCTGCCATCGAGGCCCCCCATCAACATTTGCTGAATATCCCTTCACTGTTCGCCTGAAACTATCACAGCATTGATAACCTGCTATACCCCAATGCAAATTAAAAAATGAAAAAGATATTTGCTGAATTTAAAGGAGGGAAAGAGGGTCTTCCCTGGTGGTCCAGTGGCTAAAACTCCACAATCCCAATGCAGGGGGCCGGGGTTCAATCCCTGGTCAGGGTACTAGATCCCACATGCTGCAACTAAGGGTTCATGTGGGTGATGGCAAGTTGCTGCGGCTGTGTCCAACCCTTTGAGACCCCATAGACTGTAGCCCACCAGGCTCCTCTGTCCATGGGGTTCTCCAGGCAAGAGTACTGGAGTGGGTTGCCATGCCCTCCTCCAGGGATCTTCCCGACCCAGGGATTGAACTCGTGTCTCTTATGTCTCCGGCATTGGCAGGCGGGTTCTTTACCACTTGCATGCCGCGATGAAGGATCCTGAAGGTTGAAACTAAGATTCAGTGCAGCCAAATGAATAAATGCTTTAAAAAATTTTTTTTAAAAAGAAAAAAAGAAAAGGAGGGAAAGAAAGACTTTGTAGGGTTATTATATAGGACCATCAGTGAATGATGACAGGCAAGTGTTTTCTTACAAACCAAGTGTATCTGATTTCTCATTTCCAGACAGCACAATTTAACTGGGACCCAGAGACGGTGGGCCTTATCCATGGATCTTTTTTCTGGGGTTATATTGTGACACAAATTCCAGGTGGTTTCATTTCAAATAAATTTGCTGCAAACAGGTAAGATAAATTCATTTAACATGAGTGCTACACAGATCATAATGTGGCTTTGTATGCTTTTATCAGTTCTGCAAAATTGGCTCTCAATTTAGGGGTGCAGAGTGAAAGGTAGAAGTCATTCCTAAAGACATGATTCACAGACATTGACTTTATATGATCCTGTTCTTAAGAATCTCTTTTTACTTTTTTGTTTAATTTAATCTATCTGGCAATTCTTTATCTGATTATGTAGTTAAAAAAAAATCAATTGCACCTGAATCAGGAGAAACAGTTTCTGGACCCTAAGTAACTCACTTGGTAACCTCTACTGAGTTCCTCTTTTCCCCTGGACCTCCATTTCCTCATCTGTGAAATGAAACATGGATTAGATTGTGTTTGAGTTCCCTTTGAGCAATGACTTTCTGTGATGCTGTTTACTATGCTGATATTGTCCTGTACTATACTGGTTTTGTCATGTGAGTAGGAGGGGGCTTGTCTCTAGACTGTAAGATGTCTTTCATACTCTTGAGATTCTATAGGAGGTGTTTGAGCAAGTAAAAGTAGGTCCAAGAGAAAATGAGCTGCCTCAAGGAGTAGTAATTCTCTGTTACTAAAGGTATTTAAGCAAAAGGTGATGGCCACTTGGGAGATATGTAATATGTATATGTACTAGAAAAGGAGTGTACTAAAAGTGTACTAATTATTTCCAGGTCATTTCTCATTGTAATTGACTTAACATATATGGATTTTGTGAAGTGTACATTTTATAAAGCAGTATTTTTCAAACTCTAAAAACAGAACTCATTAGATGGTAATAAATCAATAGTGATTTACCAATATCTATTTTCTAAAAAGAGAGAAAAATAGAAGGAAAGATAATCAAATAGAATAGAAAATATCTTAGCTCATTGCACATTTTAGAATCAAATTTTGGAAATTGTTTTGGTTACATTTGTGTGTATAAGTGTGTGTTGGGTTGCAATATAAAATTTATTTTGTTTTATGGATCAAGGAAAAAAGTCTGAAAGTCATATCCATATGTAAAGTCATTTCTATGAGCATGACTCATATTTTACTTATGTTCTTATCTAATTTGTGTCCTTTATTTATTGTCACTTGCCTGTTGTATTCTTCTTAAAAAGTGATAAAATACTGGTTCCTATGGTCTTTGAAGTCACTATTCATACTTCTGCCCTAAGAAGAAATAGCATATAATAAGATTTCCCAGAATAAAAAAAATCTGAAGCATCATTAGCATGTGTGAGAAAGAAATAAAATGATGCCCGCTCTCTTTCCCTGGGACACTCCTGTCCAGGCAAAGAGGAGACACACGGTACTTGGCAGAAAGCTGGGGGGCTGAGACAGGTGCCCGGTCTGGTTCCAGGACACAGCACACTTCTCAGATAACTTGTAGCCCCATCTGCTAACACGAGGGCAGAGCTGGGAAGCAGGAGATACAACCCAAATGTGCAGAAGTCATGAGGTGATAGTCGGAATGGATCATTCAGGTAGAATCGAGAACAATGGTGGGTCTCCAGTAAGTTTACCTCGTGCCAGTCAGTCTCCAGCTTCTGGATCTTATCTAGGCAGGACACGCCTGTACTGCCCCAAACCTTCCCATGATTGGCCCAAGGACTGGAGCTCGGGAATCAAAACAGCCTGACAGCCTAGCAAGGCACACAGCAGACCCTAACACATCTATTTCTCTGTTAATTTATACAGTGATCTTCCATGAACAGGTAGGTTTGTTCCCGATGTTTAACTAATGTGCCACATCCATGGTGGGGCCTGCCCAGTAGCACAGTGTTTTGGTCCTTAGGGTCTTTGGAGCTGCCGTCTTCCTAACATCGACCTTGAACATGCTCATTCCATCTGCAGCCAGAGCGCATTACGGCTGTGTCATGGGTGTCAGGATTTTACAAGGTTTAGTGGAGGTAAGAGACTCTTTTCTTAACAAATTTTGATATTGTTGGAGACAACACGATCCTTTAGAAATTTTAATTTTTGAAGAAAACCTCCTTTATCAGTTTTCCTATCTCCCATCTTTCTTGTCTGGCTATCTGAACTTTCTGGTTATGATTATAATTATGAATACTTTAATTAAAATTCCATGTGTGATTCCAAATTTATACACAATGAAGGATCATTTCACAGAGTGCAGAATTTCAGATGAGCCAGGAGTGATCTTAGAGGTAATTTAATCCAACCACTTCTGCTTAATAAATTTTGAAACTGAAGCCCAAAGCCTTCAGTTCACATAACCAGGGCTCTTTCCACTAAAACAATTTAAGTGGATTTATTAATAAGTCTGTAAATTTCCAGGGGTGTAGTCTTACACAGAGATTTAACTTGATGAAGTGGGTAGCATAATATAGAGCCAGAAGGTAAATATTTTGTACTCTGCTGGCCATACTGTGGTCTGTTGCAACTTCTCAACTCTGCCATTGTTTACAAAAGCAGCCAGAAATATATGTAAACGTGTGGGCATGGCTACTTGACAGTGAAACTTTTTGGACACTGATATTTTTTACTTCATATGATTTTTACATGCCAGGAAATGCAATTCTTTAAAAAATTTTTTCCTGGTCACTTAAACATTTAAAAACCATTATTTGCTTGAGGGCTGGAGAAAAACAGAGGGTGGGCCACATCAGGCCATAATTCGCCCCCACCTGATGTAGAGAAATGCTTCCCAAACTCAGTCATTCACCTCTAACTGTTGTCACTTTTGTCATATTCACACTATGATTCATACTGTTACTTGCCTATAGTTTTTCCCTGGTCAATTTACTTAAAAACAAAACAAAATAGAACCTCCTCATAAGCAACAATATTTTTTATATCATGGGTTTAATGTGCTAGTTATATTTTTCTAAAGCATATTAGAATATATATGTAACAATGATAATAAAAAAATGTAGGTGGTTTTAGTACTTGAAATCTAATTCTTATCCCACTGAAGGGACATATACCACACTTTGGAAAATACTAACACAGTAGAAAGAACATGATATTAGCAGCCCTGAAGACTAGAATCTAGTCACCTAATGGCTGGCAGCCTCAGGTTCCATATCTTTAAATGAGAGGATGGGTCAGCTGATTGTGGAAATCCATTTCCACACTGATATTAAATAATAATATGAAATATGAAGACCCCCTTCCCCATTCCCCACCTTGCTTACATTTGAACTTGTATTTGAATTTTAGAATCTGTGCTGTGAGTCAAAGTAACTGACACATGTTATTTAGTTTCTATAAGTTGGGCTTTTATATTGTGATGTTAGAGAGGCAAAGTCCAATTTTAAACACAAAAGGAAACTGGAGTCAAATCAAATCATCCATTTAAAAAAAATTTTTTTTTATTAGTTGGAGGCTAATTACTTTACAATATTGTAGTGGTTTTTGTCATACACTGACATGAATCAGCCATGGATTTACATGTATTCCCCATCAAATCATCCATTTTGAACTGTTTTGCCAGGGTGTGACATACCCAGCATGTCACGGGATGTGGAGTAAGTGGGCACCACCTCTGGAGAGAAGCAGACTGGCTACAATCTCCTTTTGTGGTGAGTGTATTGGAATAATAGCAAGTTTCATATAGGAATGCTTTCGGCTTTAGATGAAGACCCTGCTAAATAGAATTAGTTTTTTCACGTAACAAAAGTCCAAAGGTGAATGGTTGGTTGCTAGTGTTGATTCTGCTGGTCTGTAATCTATCCAGGGCCTGTGCATGTTCTGACTTTCTACTCCACTATCCTTAGAGTGATAACTTTTTGCATTCATGCGTATTCCTCATGTTTGCAAAATGGCTACCACAATTCCAGGCATTAAGTCCACCTTAAAGGCAGAAAGAAGAGGGGATGGGTGTCCTAACCAACTCTATTCCTTTCATCAGGAAAGAAAAAGCCTTCCCAATTCCCCTAGCAGGCTTCCATTTTTATCTGCTTGGTCCTAACTGTTTCATAGGCTTTACTAACTGCAGAGAAAGCTGGGAAAGCCAGTGCCTAGCTTTTCTAACATCTTTAATAGAGAAAAGTAAGAAAAAAGTCATTGGAAGTGGTTGTAGGATTAGCGAACAAATATTTCCCAAAGTTGAAAGTAGAAGATGTAGAATAGTCAAGGCCCCAGTCCTCTTCTTTTTACAAATGGAGAAATTAAAACTAAAATTTTAAATCTCATTTCATTGAACTAAAGCAGAAGTCCAGTGACTTGCTCAAGATCACATAGCTACCAAAGAATGGAGCAGGAGCTAGAACGTTGGATTCTTGATTCAGAGCTTTCCTCACCACACACTACTTTGTACACACTATCATCAGTTCAGTTCAGTTCAGTCGCTCAGTCGTGTCCGATTCTTTGCAACCCCATGGACTGCAGCACACCAGGCCTCCCTGTCCATGTCCTCCCATCACCAGCATCCAGAGCCTACTCAAACTCATGTCCATCACATCGGTGATGCCATCCAACCATCTCATCCTCTGTCATCCCCTTTTCCTCCTGACTTCAATCTTTCCCAGCATCAGGGTCTTTTCAAATGAGTCAGTTCTTTGCATCAGGTGGCCGAAGTATTGGAGTTTCAGCTTCAGCATCAGTCCTTCCAACAAATATCCAGGACTGATCTCCTTCAGGATGGCCTGGTTGGATCTCCTCGCAGCCCAAGGGACTCTCAAGAGTCTTCTCCAGCACCACAGTTCAAAAACATCAATATTTCAGTGCTTAGCTTTCCTTATAGTCCACCTCTCACATCCATACATGACTACTGGGAAAACCATAGCTTTGACTAGACAGACCTTTGTTGGTAAAGTAATGTCTCTGCCTTTTAATATGCTGTCTAGGTTGGTCATGAGACTTCCCTCGTGGCTCAGTTGGTAAAGCAGTAAAGCCTACAGTGCGGGAGAGCTGGGTTCAATCCCTGGGACGGGAAGATCTCCTGGAGAAGGAAATGGCAACCCACTCCAGTACTTTTGCCTGGAAAATTCCATGGACGGAGGAGCCTGGTAGTCCCCAGTCCATGGGGTTGCAAAGAGTCAGACACGACTGAGTGACTTTTCACTTTTTCACAGGTTGGTCATAGCTTTTCTTCCAAGGAGCAAGCGTCTTTTAATTTCATGGCTGCAGTCACCATCTGCAGTGATTTGTCACAAAGACCATTTAATCAACTTTTCTATTATCTTCCAGAAAAAAAAAATGAAGAGGACATCATCCATTTTACACCAAAGCAAATTAATAGCCCTTAAGTACTGATGTGACTTTAACTCCTGGGTCTCCAAATTTCACCTTGCTAAGGATGCCTCATTTGAAGCCATGCCTTTGGGACTGGCCCCTCTATGAATCTCTGAGAGTAATCAGTGTTCAGAAGACTCTACTAGGTACCCATCAATATTTGAACAAGAATAGCATGTGCTGCCACCAATATTTTCAAATATTTTTTTTAATGGGGGAAGAGGCCCAAGAAGACAAAAGTGACTTAGGCCACAAAAGTTAGCAATGGGCCCACACAGAATTAGGATCGAATTTAGGTCTGCTTAGATTTTCAAGCTAGCATATCTCTCCTAACACAAGCTAACCTGTACATTTTGGCTAAGGAGGAAGCTTTACTTCTCTAAATATATTTATTTATTTTTCTCTCTTCTTCTTTGGGGCTTCCCTGGTAGCTCAGACATTAAAGAATCTGCCTGCAATGCAGGGACTTATGTTCGATCCCTGGGTCGGGAAAATCCCCTGGAGAAGGAAATGGCAACCCACTCCAGTATTCTTGCCTGGAGAATTCCTGGACAGAGGAGCGTGGTGGGCTACGGTTCATGGGGTCGCAAAGAGTTGAACACAATTGGGTGACTGACACTTTCACTTTCTCTTCTTTACCTGCACAAGCAGTAGTAGTGTTAGCAGCAGCAGCAGCAGTAGCAGTGACAGTAGTAATAAAGGATCCCAGGGAATTTGGTGTGAAACATTCACCCACGTGCCTATTTTGTGTCTCATTTAGAAATGCACGCACAGCTGAGATGGCTTTACATCTTTAGTCTCCCCCATCCTTAGGAACCATTTTTGTCCTTTTACTTGCAGTTCAAGATCAACTCCACCTCCCCTACTGATCTTATACCAACTCTAGAAGAATGTAAGATTCTGCCCCAGCTGACCTTGACCTATTTTCTTCAGAAAATTTACTAATAAGGCCTTTTATTTTGATTTGCCAGCAAACAAGAACAACCAGCAGCCACTCCCCATTCTTAGTGTTTTTATAGCCCTAAAATGGCTAATTTAAGAAATGACTTGACTCTCAAGGAAAGTTACCTGATCAAGGTCACAGGCTTTGTTGTATTTCCCAGCTAAGGTGTGGCCTTGGTTTCAAAGAAGAGCACAGCAAAAATGTCATTAGAAGTAAACCCAGGCTTGGGGATAAATGATTCTTACACTTAAAAAATATTGCAGTTGGAAGAGTCTTTAGAAAACATCTAGTCACATTCATTGTTTTATTTTTTTAATTAATTTTGATTTTTTAAGAAATAAAACTGGCTTTATTCAAAGACATAGCTTTTTGGTTTTGTTTGCCCCTAGTTTTATTGAGATGGAAGAGATGTACAGCACTGTTTACATTTCAGGTGTTCAATGTAATGATTTGACTTACATACATCATGAAATATTTGTCACAATAGGTTTAGTGAATGTCATCATCACACACAGATACAACATCAAAGAAACAGGCAAAAAATCTTTTTTCCTTGTGATGAGAACTCTTAGGATTTACTGTCTTACCAATTTTCATTTACAACATATATCAGTGTTAGTTATCTTTATTATGTTGTATGATACACCACTAGTACTTACTTATACCTGGCAATTTGTACTTTTTGATTGCCTTCATGTGATTTCCCCTCTACCCACCCCTGCCTCTGATAGCCACAAATCTGAATTCTTTTTCTAACTCCATTGTTATATAGTAGAGGAGACTGATGCTCAGGGAGGGGCAAAAAAGACATAAACTCTCATGGAAACTGAGGACAGCACTGGGTACTCTCTCATCCCAGGTCAGCTACTCCTCTCTGCGGATGCCATTCAATAAGCACCCTCCTCTTCCTGCGTGGTGCCCACACAGAGGGGTCAAGGTGCAGTTAGGGCAATATGGGTGGAGAGCCCTGCTGGGGTATGCTCAGGACCTGTGGGTGTGATAGGAGATCACATTCAGCCACGTTTGGAAGGATGAGGAAGAGTTGTCTAAAAGACATGAAAGGATAATTTCAGGCTGTAAAATTTCCTCAGTGGAAGAATGCTTCTTGCTATGAGGAATTATTGGCTATTGTTGAATGGAAGAAGCAGGACTGAATTATTACACAGTTAAGGTTAAAGGCTTTAGATTCCTGCAGACCTGGATTCTGGTCACTCACACCCATGTGACCTCAGGAAATTTACCTCCCATCCCAAGCATTCTTGTAAAATGGGGATGACACCAGTACCAATGTTACCAGGTTGAAAAAAAAAGGTTAAATAAAACCGGGAATCCAGAGTCCTCGGCAGAATACTAGAAATCACACAGAAAGCACTCAATGAACCTTATATTAATAGATGGTTATCCCCTGACCCTCCCCGTTTGCATCATCTAAACTTGAGCTCCCACCTCCCACTCCCAGGGTATTTGCTCCAGGAAAGGAGACCACCTTCTCCACACTCACAGAGGAATCAGGTCTGTAGCTCTTCTTTATAGATGATGTGTCCTGGAACCTCTGCCTTATCGGTCTGAGGAAGTCTGAGGTTAAAAAATTAGAAGTGCTCTTTCCTTCTGTACACAGTAGCAGCATAAATAGTTGATGTTTGAAAGTGCAAGTGTTAGTCGCTCAGTCGTGTCTGACTCTGCAACCCCGTGGACTGTAGCCCACCAGGCTCCTCTGTCCATGGGATTCTCCAGGCAAGAATACTGGAGTGGGTTGCCATTCCCTTCTCCAGGGGATCTTCCCGACCCAGGGATCGAACCCAGGTCTCCGGCACTGCAGGCAGACTCTTTAGCACCTGAGTCACCAGGGAAGCCCAGCTGGTGTTTGAAAGTGAAAGTGTTAGCTGCTCAGTCGTGTCCGACTCTTTGTGACCCCATGGACTGCAACTCAGCAGGCTCCTCTGTCTATGGGGTTCTCCAGGCAAGAATACAGGAGTGCTTGCCATTTCCTTCTCCAAGGGATCTTCCTGACCCAGGGATCAAACCCAGGTCTCTCACATTGCAGGCAGATTCTTTTCTACTAGCACCACCTGGGAAGCTCTAAAAAGCAGCCCTCTTGGCTTGGCTCCATTGGGACTCGAGCCCAGGACCTTCTGTGTGTAAAGCAGATGTGATAACCACTGTGCTAGTTGGTGTATATGTTACACTTAATTAGAGCACCTTCATGTAATAAGTTATTTGCTCCTCAAAACAACCTGGTAAGACAGAGATTTCACTTCCATCTGAAGAAAATGATTTGGAGGAATTGAGAGACTTCCTCAGGGGTCCTGATGTTCAGATCCAGGATTCCAGGTCAGGCCAGCTGGGCCCAACTTGGAAACATGGGATTTAATTTCTTTGTCTGGAAGCTCTTCAAGTTCCTGTTTCCTGAAGATCTTCCTTAGCACTGGGTTATGGGATACAGCATTTTTTTTTTTGCTGCTCACTTGTGCTGAAGCAAGAATTCTTTCCACTCATACACAGAGGGAATTTCATATAGTAATTTTTTTGATTCAGTTAATATTTATGGGGAGTTTGCAGCGCTCATGTCTCTCCACCAGATATCATAGAGCTTCCGGAGATAGTGGAGGTGAGGTCACTGCCTCTAGCCCTTGTTATCTTGTCTAGACAAGATAAACATCCACACACAGGTAAGTATTTACAAGGTTAGGTATTTCAAAGTAAGAAACTAAAAATGTACCTATTTAGGAGGCGGATGAAGACAGTAGCTATCCTGGTCATCCTGCCATCCTGAAATGTAACAGTTTTCTGGTATTAAAAAAAAAAAATTGAGATGCTAAAAAGCATAATTCTTTCATAGTTTGAAGTTCCTCATTTAAAGGCCTAGGTGAATTATATATCAATATAATTATATCTCAATAAAACTGAGAGAAAAAAAATTTTTTTTAAAATAAAGACCTAGGTGATATCCTTCTGAATTGTGAACCCTGAGAGATACTTACATAAATGCCTTCACTTTCTTTCTTTCTTTTTAATGGTCTGGCTATTTATTTACTTATTGGCTGTACCCCGAGCATGTGGGATGTTAGTTTCCTGATTCGGGATTGAACCCATGCCCCCTGCAACGGAAGCACGGAGTCTTAACCACTGGACCACTAGGGCACTCCCTGTTCCTTCACTTTCTGTCTTCAGCACCCAATATTGTGCCTGACTGAATTTTTCAGAGTTGTCACATTTTTCTTATTGTTTTCATTCCATTTTCTTGTTATTCCAAATCAAGGTGCCTGAGCCATCTCTGTCTAACCCTTCCATGGGGTCCGGATGAAGTTAAAGGGTATCCTGGAGACCTTTCTCTCCTGGAGGCCTGTTTTTAGGCACGGTGGGAGTGGGCCAGCTCCTCTGCACAGAGGCATCCTCACTCGCACTTGGTATGACTGCTTCACACTGAGCACCCTGAAGATTGCAGTCTTCAGGTTGACTGCTGAACTCTGATGGTTGGATGGGCTTGCCTGGTGACTGGTGAGTTTCCTTCCACTTTTTTTGTCCTAGGTTCCTATGCAGGAGCAGTGATTGCCATGCCGCTGGCCGGGGTGTTGGTCCAGTACATTGGATGGGCCTCTGTCTTTTATATTTATGGTGAGTGATTTGATTTCATGAGTTCCCATGAATAACTGGGCTTCCCAGGTGGCTCGGTGGTAAAGAATCCCCTGCCAATGCAGGAGATGCAGGAAATGCAGGTCTGATCCCTGGGTCGGGAAGATCCCCTGGAGGAGGGAATGGCAACCCACTTCAATATTCTTGCCTGGAGAACCCCATGGACAGAAGAGCCTGGTGGGCTACAATCCATAGGGTCACAAAGAGTTGGACAGGACTTAAGTGACTGAACACACACACACACACACATGGGTAATTGATAGATATGGCCTTTGACTGTCTAATGGGGTTGGCTTAAGAGTTTACTGTATGAAAATAGGGATTACTAAGACAAGTTTATCACATAAATGGAATACTTGTCTAATGATGATTCATTTAATGTGTATATAAAAGTTGAATTTCCTAATAAGCAGAGCATAATCTTTCTTTAAATACCAGTTACTAACATAATGCCAGGAAAAAAATCAACCAAATGCTTTCTACTAGCTGAATATAGTGCCATTTGAAATTTGACAAATTTAGAGACGGAAGAAAGCGAGATGATATCATCAAGCCTTTTGTTTTCCGACTGCAGGTATTTTGGGCATTATTTGGTACATGTTTTGGCTGTTGCAGGCCTATGAGTGTCCAGCAGCTCACCCAACAATATCCCAGGAGGAGAGGACCTATATAGAGGCAAGCATAGGCGGAGGAGCCAGCTTGGTTAGTCTCAGTGTAAGTAGAGAGGAGAGACGAAGACTTGCCTCTTTTTATGAGTATTTCTTTCAATGATTGTGTTAGCCTCATAAGAAAAATAATCTGTCAGTATATTCACTACAAATCTCACGGTATTTCCACTTTCTAGAAATTTAATACACCATGGAAAAGATTTTTCACGTCATTGCCAGTGTATGCAATCATTGTGGCCAATTTTTGCAGAAGCTGGACATTTTATTTGCTGTTAATAAGTCAGCCTGCTTACTTTGAAGAGGTCTTTGGATTTGCAATAAGTAAGGTAAACATACAGATTCTTGAACTTTAAATCTCTTGCTTCTACTGCAAAAATCTTTGCTTGATAAAATAATTACATTACTGATCAAAATTCCTAACAGTTCTGTGACACCTAATACCCTGGAGGTCAGACAAGTTATGCATTCTATGCGCAATAAACACAGCTATTTAATTTCTTCTTAGTGAGGATCAGAGCTGTATTAAGCTGCTTTTAAAGATTTATGTTCTTCCCATTCTCAAAGTGTTTCTGAAGCTGGCTCAAGAACTGCATATTAGGCAAGGATCAAAAGATTTAAGGGTGCAAGGTTGTGGGGTTTTTTTTCCTATAAATTATTCAGGGAGGAGCAGTAAGGGTGCGAGGGTTTTTTTTTTTTTTTTCCTATAAATTATTCGGGGAGGAGCAGTAAGAACCTTAAAGCTCATTTTGCAGATCACGGTCATAGCACTAATGACCAGTACTTTATGGTTTAGAAAGAACCTTTTTCAATGTCCCCAACCATTGCTATTAGGTTGCCTGTGTTTCAGGTATGAAGAATGTGGATGGTAAAACATAAGCTGTCATCCTAAAAGTATTAAGTCTCCTTCCCACAGGATAAAGAACGGAGGCCTAGCAGACGTAGATATCTGTGACTATGGAAGAACTAGCCCAGCCAGTAGTGGCGGCCATCAGGGGGTACTCACTCTATGCCAAGAGTCTAACTGCCATGTGCCAAGTAGTTAAACACCCACTGGGTACTGGGGCCTCTGTGAACGATTTTAAGACCAGACCTACCCATCTCAAGGAGCTTCCTATCTGGTAGAGGAGACGAGTAGGTCTATTCTTAAAGTTGTTCACTCATTCATTGTTTATTCATTACAAAATTCAGGCCTGTCTCGGTCCCGTATAATTAGATGATTAAATTTGGTGGTGAGGGTGAGGGGTTCAGTGGAGATGGTGAGGGTGTTAAAGAAGTACATCTCTCAGAATAGCTAAAAACAGCTCACTGTTTCTTTTCATTCCAGGTGGGTCTCTTGTCAGCAGTCCCACACATGGTTATGACGATCATTGTGCCTATTGGAGGACAACTGGCTGATTATTTAAGAAGCAGAAAAATTTTGACCACAACTGCTGTCAGAAAAATCATGAACTGCGGAGGTACTGTGGATTTCATAGGTGGCTTAAGCAGCTTCTATAGAATGAGATGAAACTGAATTGCAAACCATATTTTTGAGGTTAGGTCTAAGCACTGAGAAGGCCCTTAAGTCCACCCCTAGTTGATACTTGAGTGTCCATCACACCCCTGCCTAGAGGTCATTCAGCCTGTACTTGTGCAACCTGAGATATGACAGTCTGGGAATTCCTTGGCACTCCAGTGGCTAGAATTCTGTGCTCTCACTGACAAGGCCCTGGGTTTAATCCCTGGTTGGCGCACTAAGATGTGGGGCGCTTTTTTGGTCATGTGGCCAAAAAAGAGATATTTTTAAAAAAAGATATGACAGGGAAGCCTGGCGTGCTGCTGTTCATGGGGGTCTCAAAGAATCAGACATGACTGAGTGTCTGAACGACATAGAAGATGGAAAGTGTGACTGAGGCAAAAAGATCCTTGTCTGGCTGAATTGGTTGCCTATGTGAACTTCAGGTTGTTTTAATATGAAATGAAAAAATTTCTCAGACCTTTCAGTTCTAGTTCTGTTTCTCTTGGCATAGTTTCACTTCCCAGGATCTCTTGATCACCCATAAAGTTTAAATTTTATCATTCAGCTCCTGAAACATACAGTCCTAGCATTTTCACAGTAGATAGGAGTCACTTATGCTCTTAAATGATTTTTCTTTCTTTGAAAGTCTACTATTTGGCAAAAATCTTTTTTCTTATTGATGCATCAATGTATCATTTATAGGTTTTCTTCATACAGTGTCTTTATTCTAATTATTTGGGGGGAATTAACTTTCTGGTTCCATTTTTTTGATAGTGTTAAGGGAAGTTTGAACCATGTGCCTTGTTGTGTAAGACAGGCCAGTTCCAAAACACAAATAGTTAGTATACAATGGTATGTGTGTGTGTGCGCGCTCAGTCATGTCCAACTCTTTGCTACTCCCTAGACTATAGGCTGCCAGGCTCCTCTGTCCATGGAATCTTCCAGGCAAGAATACTGGAGTGGGTTGCCATTTCCTTCTCCAGGGGATCTTCCTGACTCGAGGACTGAACCCACTTCTCCTGCATCAGCAGGCTGATTCTTTACCACTGAGCCACCTGGGAAGCCCTTATACCATTATTACTTGTTATTAACTTTGTTTCAACAATTTAAATTATATATAGGGAAAAATAACCTGCCAGTGCAGGAGATGCTAAAGACATGGGTTTGATCCCTGGGTCAGGAAGATCCCCTGGAGGAAGAAGTGGCAACCCACTCTAGTATTCCTGCTGGGATAACCCCATGGACAAAGGAGGGCTGCAGTTCACGGGGTTGCAAAGAGTCGGACATGACTGAAGCGATTGAGCACGGATGCACGGTTCCTTTCAGTCGCTCAGTCATGTCCGACTCTGCGACCCCGTGGACCGCAGCACGCCAGGCCTCCCTGTCCATCACCAACTCCTGGAGCTTGCTCAAAGTCATGTCCATTGAGTCCGTGATGCCATCCAACCATCTCATCCTCTGTTGTCCCCTTCTCCTCTTGTCCTCAATCGTTCCCAGCATCAGGGTCTTTTCTAAGGAGTGAGTTCTTCGCATCAGGTAGCCAGAGTATTGGAGCTTCAGCTTCAGCGTCAGTCCTTCCAATGAATATTCAGGACTGATTTCCTTTAGGGTTGAGTGACTTGATCTTGCCGTCCAAGGGACTCCGGCATCACAGTTCAAAAGCAACAGCAACAGTTCTTTGGTACTTAGCTTTCTTTATGATTCAACTTTCACATCCATACATGACTACTGGAAAAATCATAGCTTATGCTAGACAGTCCTTTGTCAGCAAAGAAACGTCTCTGCTTTTTAATATGCTGTCTAGGTTTGTCATAGCTTTTCTTCCAAGGAGCAAAATTCCATGGCTGCAGTTACCATATGCAGTGATTTTGGAGCCTTAGGAAATAAAATCTGTCACTGTTTCCATTGTTTCCCCATCTATTTGCCATGAGGTAATGGGACATGGATGACCAGTAATGACATAAAGTCCACAGTTTAAAAAAATTTTTGATTAATTAAAATTTAAAAACTTATAAATACAATTTTTGAAGCTTTTGTTCCATTTAGAACTGTTACAAAACGGTGGCTATATTCTTCATGTTCTTCAATACATCCTTGAGCCTGTCTTATACCCAGAAGTTTGAACCTCCCACTCCCCACCGCTATACTGCCCCTCCCTCTCTCCATCCCCCCACTGGCATCCCCCACTGGCACCCCATGTGGCATCCCCCCACATCCCACTAATTTATTCTCTGCATCAGTGAGTCTGTGAAGCTCACAGTTTAAAAAGCACCTCTGTGCCCATAATTTTACTGATTCTCTTTAGATGACCATCTAAAACAATCATTAATGCTTGCCCTGTTTCTATAATAGTTTTGAAGAATGGATTCAGAAAGGTAAGCAACTTATTAAGGTTTACAAAAAAGTGTCTTGGCTTGTATTTCAACTTAATCTTGATTTTCCTTTCTTTCCTTTGCACTAATTATCAAGTTCCCACTACATACTTGCCAGGCTTTGTACTATACCCATGGTACCTTCCCTGGGTAATATCACAGTTTTGTTGGGGAAGGCAGAAACACAAATGAAAAACTACAGGGCAATGCTGAAAAGTTCTATGAAATGAGGAAGAAGAAGGAGATGTCAGCTTCTCTGATGGTGAGTGGCAGGGTTGTCAGCTTCCTAAATAAAGCAGTATTTCAACTGGACTTCAAAGAATAGTAAGATTTCTCCAGAAATGAGAAGTAAGTGATACCAGAAGAGTACTGCAGGTGAAGGAACAGTCTGTGGAAATACGGTACGGGCACAAAACAGTGTTGTGATCAGGAAATGGTGGAGAAACATGTGCAACAGTAGAGGCCTTCCCATGGGCTTCAGATGGTGAGCCGGGGGTAAGAGAGACAGAAATTGAAACTGGGGCAGCAGGAGGAATTTATTATAGACTCTGTACTTAGAGTGTGGAACCACTGACAAGCATTTTAAGTAAAGGAGAAACTGATCAGATTTGTAGTTTAGAAAAATAATCATCCAGAGAATGGATCAGAGGAAAAAGAGATGGGAAGACCAATAAAGAGGTTTTTGAAGTTGTCCAGGTGAGAGGTAGTGGGGTCCACAACTAAGACAATGGTCGGGGAAGGAAAAACAGGTATTTCTAAGGCCAACGTCATGGATTCTTAACTGAAAACTGAAGAAGAGAAAGAAGTCCAAGGTGATTCTGAGATTTCTGCTTTGAACATTTGATTACCATTTGTTGAGTCATGTCCATGGCCAGCGATCATGCTCAACACCTTATATACCCAATTTAATTTAATCTTCCAATGCTCCAAGGTTGTATTATAGCTTTTGGCAGGGGGGAATGAGGAATCGAAGAGAAGAAGTGCTTGTCCAAGATCACACCATTAGTGATTTTGAGATGGAATCTGAACCCAGCAGGCCTGTCTGATAAAGTCTGGGTTCTAAACACAGGCAGATAGATTAATTGAGAGAAGAAGAAAGAGTGTGGTGGTGGTTTTTTGTCTGTTTTGGAGTGAATATGGGGGACAGAGACTTGATTTGGGCCTGCTATCTTTGAGGTAACTCAAAGGACAATCTTGTAGCGATGTCTGGAATCAGCAGATAGTCTCTAGGATGAAGCATCATTTCACTGTCTTCTACCTCCAAGGGTACTTCCTCCCTAGAAACAGTACTTATATCATCTTTCTGTCTTGCTATCAACTGAACTTGTGTGTGTTTTTGTGTGTTGGTGAGAAGGATCTTCAGCATTTCCTTACCCTTTTTTATTGTGCTGGATTCACTTATTTTGAATGAAAGGAGCAAAAAGTATTTCCGTCCCACTGTATTTTGTGTGCAAATATCTCATGGCACTATAAAGAGGCCTGAAAGCTTGGCAAACTTCTGAAAAGGAGGAATTTTGCCTTATGCTTTACAGGTGGTGAGGCTCTGCTTTTTGTTTCAGATATTCACTACTGCTTTCGAATCACTTTTGACAATAACACTATTTTATTTAAAAATTTTATTTTTGTTTCATTTTCTGCGAGAGACCATCACTTGTGTAATCAATGGAGAATCACTGACGGTCTTAGAAATGGCAGGGGGAACTACCCATGAACAACTGATAATAAACATTCCTCATCCAATGGGCATCATTGTACCTCCTGGGACTATTCAGTGTTCAAGGCACACTAGGAAATTGTTGGAAAGCTCACAGAATACCTGGGTAATATTAGCAAAGTCGTGTAGTCAAGAAATATCTCTATAAGATTGTAAATATTGTGCCAGAATATGTGCACTAAAAGCTTGGGTCTGTGAAAATAGATTCTTTTTGATAAATTCACGAACTTGGGCTGACTGACTTGGAAATGACGTTTTCCCCTGCTGTTTCTGTTCACAGGTTTTGGCATGGAGGCAACCTTGCTCCTCGTGGTTGGCTTTTCCCATACCAAAGGGATGGCTATCTCCTTTCTGGTGCTTGCTGTAGGATTTAGTGGTTTTGCTATTTCAGGTAAAGTGCCCTTTGGGTTTCCAAATCTTTTCCATAGATTCAGCAAGACTTGGGAGAAAGGAAGGAAAGGATATTAAGCACCTACCTTTGGCAGCCAGGCCATTCCTGAGGATCAAGGCCACTGGCTAGAGATTTTCATCTAGTGGGGATGATTTTGAATATCACTGAGAACTGGGCTTAGGAGCCCAGCCAAGCTGGAATTATCACTACTTTCTTCATCTTGGGAATGACAACAGGCAGGTGCCCTCTCTGGGGCATGGACAGAATGCTTGTTGCAGGGCAAAGTGGCACCTTCATACTTTAGCACCAGGCCACCTGACCTAACAGAGGCTCTTGTGACTTTTTTGATTCTCACTTCCTACAGGAGAACTGCTAACATTAACTCACAATCAAATGATGTAGTCATTTGACATAAAGTTATAGAATCAGAAGGGCTTCCCAGGTGGCACTAGTGCTAAAGAATCTGTCTGCCAATGCAGAAGGTGCCAGGAATGTGGATTCAATCTCTGGGTTGGGGAGATCACCTGGAGAAGGAAATGGCAACCCACTCCAGTATTCTTGCCTGGAGAATTGCAAGGACAGAGGAGCCTGGTGGGCTACAGTCCAAGAGGTCGTGAAGAGCTGGACATGACGGAGCACATGCATACACACACATAGAATCAGAAAGTTTTAAGGGTGGAATTTTTCTTTAGTTTTCTGTCTTCTCCATGGCTTTCATTTTCCAAACAAGGACATGCAGATCCAGAGAGGTGATGTGACTTGATAAGCCAGCAAGACTTAAGAAGAATAGTAATGATGATGTGAGCTAACCCTGATCAGGCACAAACTCTGTGCAGGGGGCTGTTCACAGCCCACTCTGTGTATTAATCCCTGCAATTCCAACAGCTACCCTAGGGCCTTCGGTCTCCCCATTTTATAGGAGCAGAAACCAGCTACCGCATGAGAGGTAACAGTGCTAGCATATTACAGACTTCAGAAGTTCCCTGTGCAAAACTGGGTGAAAAAGTAAAACCTAGGGATTTTTTTTTCCTATCTTTAAAAAAGATTGTAAAACCAAAAATTGTCATTTAACAGAACACTTGACATGTATTGCATCTCTGACAACATTGTGAAGCAAATGATATTACCATTATTTTACTGAGGAATAACTTAAAGTTCAGGAAAATGAAGGACTTTCCTATTGTTACACAACTGGGGACAAAGGAAGAATTTAGGTGCAGTCCTACCTGGTTTTCACGCCTGAGCTCTTTCCCATGATTCTGGACTGTCTTAAAGATCAAACACGGTGATAGCGTCCTAGAATAGAAAAGCACCCAGCCTCTGGGTCAAGACTACTCTTAAAACAGGGCCTTGGCCTTATCAAAATACAGCTGACCCTTGAACAATGTGGAAGATATGGGTGCTGATCCTCCACCCCGCATAGTCAAAAATCTGACTCTACTGGAGTGGCTAACCTTTCCCTTCTCCAGAGAATCTCCCCAACCCAGGGATTGAACCCGGGTCTTCTGCACTGCAGGTGGATTCTTTACCAGCTGAGTCACAAGGGAAGCCCAAGATACTGGAGTGGGTGGCCCATCCCTTCTCCAGTGGAACTTCCCAACCCAGGAATCAAACCAGGGTTTCCTGCATTGCAGGCGGATTCTTTACCAACTGAACTATGAGGGAAGCCCTCCTGTATAAAGTATTCCTCTGCATCCTGGGTTTTGTTGTATCCTCGATTTTGCATCTGATGATTCATTCAACCACAGATCTTGTGCACGCGTGCTTGCATTCTTAGTTGCTCAGTCGTATCTGACTTTTTGTGACCCTGTGAACTGTACCCCGCCAAGCTCCTCTGTCTATGGAATTTTCCAGACAAGAATACTGGAGTGGGTTGCTGTTTCCTCCTCCTAGAGATCTTTCTGACTCAGGGATTGAACCTGGTCTCCTGCATCTCCTGCAATACTGTAGTATTTACTACTGAGAAACAAATCTGCCTATAACTAGACCCATGCAGCTCCAACCCACTTTGTTGAAGGGTCAACTGTAAATAGAGCTGATGAATAGTTAAATTGGATAAAAATGTTTGCATTTAAAGTAGCCTGAAGCTAACAACTTGGGTTTAGGGATGCAAAGACCTGGGTATAAGGTCCCTCTTTAGTACTTACTATTTACAGAAGGCAAAAAAAAAAAAAAAAAAAAAAAGCTGAGTTATTTAAATCCTCAGGCTCAGTTTCCTTATCGAGAGACTGGAGGGATATAATGGCAACTTCATAGGGCTGTTGGGAGATTGCAATGAACTGAGGTCATTCTTTCATTCCTTCATACTTCCCAAGAGTCAGACACTGTTCTTGGTGCAGAAGATACTGCAGTGAATAAAAGAAAAGTTTCTGTCCTTATAAAGTTTACATTCTAGTGGAAATAAAGCTTTTGAAGATCTTAGTCCCAGTACCAGATGCATAAAACAATTAAAAAATATTCACTACAGTTGTTCAGTTATTATTCAATCTAGCCCAATACTTCTCAAAATTTAATGGTGCATGCAAGTCACCTTAGGATCTTGCAAAAATTTTGATTCTGATTTACCAGTGTAGAGTGGAGCCTGAGATCCTGTATTTCGAGCAGGCTCCCCAGTGAAGTTGACGCCACTGATCAGTAGTCCACACTTTGAGTAGCAAGGATAGAGCAGTCATGAATTGTTCCCAGCAGGATGTTAAGAGACATCTTCTTTTGATAGCCCTGTAATGCAAAAGAGATTCATATCCTGTCCACAGAGATATTGAAATATTCAGGCCCATATTGTTCCCAGATTGCCAACTTAAGCAACAATCAGATGGAGAGAAATTTTTTTTTTCAGCATTTGTAACCCCGCTGGTCACTTTTAAGGTATGAACTCATTTAATCCCTGTAGCAGCCTGATGAGAAGGGTGTTGCTATGTTCATTTTATTAGTGAGGACACTGAGGCTTGGAGAGGTGACTTAACTTACTCAAGTAAATTAAGTGATTAGGATTGGAATAAAGGTTTATCTGATTCAACAGTGAGACTATGGGAGGGACTATGGTCATGGGGAGGATGATTCCTTAGGATCTGGGATATATCAACTTTATAAGGAGTTAACAGGGATGCCAATGGAGACTTGCTCAGTTCAGGAACTGATTATAAATAGGAGAGCTGAGACAGGTGAGATTAGAAAGATACAAAGAATGGGTGATATCTGCTTTAGAAGATGTCCTGTGTAGAGAAGACAGACTCTCTCAACTTGTGTGTAACTTGCTTTGTGTATCTGCTTCAAAAAGATATATATATTAGTATCTCAGTTTCTCAATGATTTTTCCCCCAAACCCCAGGATTGTGTAGCTAGAAACCTAAATGGCTTTTCTCATATTATCTTTAGCTGAACGCAGATGTCTAGGCTTTGTGTCAGAATATAATACTCGCCAATCATATTAATTGCTTCTTATCTCTGGGTTCCTTTCTAATAAAGTGTTTATCACATTCAAATCAACAGTAAGATTAATTAATCTTGCAGCTGTTTTATATTCTGATTTTCTGCCACTTTGATCTAAAAGAGAAGGTATGTTTATTCCAGAAAGGTTTTCTTAAAATTCTCTCTGAACAGAGGTAGGAAATAAAACAAGCAGCCAATAGGGTGGATTAGAAAAAGAATTTTTTTAAATTCAATTTTTAGTTCTTTGCACAAAATAGAGAATTAAAAAGCAAGACAGGGGAAAATAAAAATATGAGTAAATAAAACCTATAACCTCCTAATGTAATTTCAGAGTTCAAGTTGGTAATTAATTAAACAACTATATATTGAGTACCTACTATGTGCCAGACACTTTGCCAGTTCAGGAAAGTAAATAGGGTAGATGGATGTTGTACTATAAAGAAACTGATGTTGGCTTTCACCTCTCTGTACCTATGTAATTGACATATATTATTTATCTTAATTCTTACAACAGTTTTATAAGAATCATTATCCCAGTTTATAGATGAAGAAACTGAGGTTCAGAAAGATTAAATCATTTGTCCAGGTTTGCATCTCAATTAAACAGCCAGATCCAAGGTCTGACTCTAAAATGTAACCCTGGGCTACACTGGCAGAATTGGTTCCCAGTGCCCGATGCCTCCTCTTTCAAAGCCTTATCCTTCCCCTGCCTTCCCGCTTCCTTCATTCCACTCATCCTTTTCTCCTGAAAAACAGAAGAATAGTGAGGTACTGGTGATTCTTTATTTCACCACTCCTTGCAGCATTACCTAGTCATAAAAGACCCCAGAGAGACGGGTGTGTTTTGCAGTGGCAGCAGCAGCAGCAATGCTGAAATCGGCACCGTGATAGTTACTAGAGCTCAGCTGTTTGCCAACAGTTCTCGTGTACATATTTCCCCTAAGCCTCATCTCACAGCATCTTTATGAGTTAAGGAGTAATATGACCCTCAAAATAGAGATGAGGAAACAAAGTCCTAAAGATGACTTGTTTAAGAGGTAACAATAAGATTCGAATCCACATTGACAAATTCCAAATCAAGTATGTATGTGAAAGTGTTCTGTAAATTACAGAGGATCCTGCAAATGTTTGTATAAATCTTTCATATCCAAAAAGAGCCCTTTATAATATGCCATGTGGTACTAAGGCAGACCCACCTGTGGCAGCCTTTTGGGAATGAGCTGAGAGCTAGGAAGGAGGATATTATGAAGCAAGATTTAGTTTTAATCATGCTGTATGTGATTGTGTGGGCTTCCCTCGTGGCTCAGTGGTAAAGAATCTGCCCACAGTGCAGGGTAGAGAAGATCCCTGGAGAAGGAAGTGGCAGCCCACTCCTGTATTCTTGCCTGGGAAATCCCATGGTCAGAGGAGCCTGGAAGGCTACAGTCCAGGGCTTGCCAAAGACCCGAGCATGACTCAGGGACTAAACAGCGACAACATGACTGTGTGACCGCTCACTCTGAATACACCTGAGCCAGGCTTGTGCTTTTCAGTGCTGCCCCAAACACTGTTATTTTGGGGTTTCAAGCCTGGAGGCAGAGGTGCCATAATTCTCCCCATGAAGATCCCATTGTAGCCATTACTGATCAATCACAGCATGGTTTTCTGCTATGAGCAGACGCAGCCTGACAATCCTCAAGCCAGCCCTTTTGGTAAACGCATCCGTTAGTAGAGGAAAGAGGTTGATGAGAGTTGGGGAAAGCTAAATATTTTCCAAAATGTATTTGGAATTCTGCTCCTGAGTCTGATTTTGAGATGTTTGGCTTCACTGTAGGTTTCAATGTCAACCACTTGGACATTGCCCCTCGCTATGCCAGCATTCTCATGGGAATCTCAAATGGAGTGGGAACCCTCTCTGGAATGGTCTGTCCCCTTATTGTGGGCGCAATGACCAAGCATAAGGTAACGGTTTCCTTTGGGGCTGTGGGTTACACAATGAGAGGACCGGAATACTGCACCACGCCTCAAGGCCCGATCCCAGCCTGTGTGAATGTCTATGTCCTTGACTTGGCTGAGTCACTTGAGCTTCTATTTTTTTTAATTTTTCTTCTTCTTTTAAAAAATTATCATTTATTGATGGCAGCAGGACTGACTGATATTTGGTTCTATGTTTCTTAAACTGAGAAATAGAAGCGGTGTGTCTGTGTGTGTGTGTATGTGTGTAGAAGAAGTGATAATACCATAAAGATTGTTTAAAGACAAAAAAGAAACTGAGGCAATTAACTCAGGATAAAAAAATTGCCCAAGGTTGTTTTATAATTCCAAGTAATTAGACTTTATAGCCATTTCCAATTATTGCTTAGCAGGCTCCAGCATGAAAATATTAGTGCAGCTATACTTCCTTATTATGAAGAAAACAAACAAGACATTAATGACCCTTCCTAAGAACCTACACGGGTGTGGCAGCAGGTCGTTACTGAACGTTTGTGTATTTAGACTAAGGTGGGTAGTACATTAGGATCCCAGATCCATCCAGAATTCAGCCACAGGTCACATGGTTTCTTCATCTCTGTCTTTGAAAAGGTTTTAGATATGCTGCCTTCTGCAAATAAACATTGTCTGATACCATGGCATTTTTACCCAACTATTTCTTTGTTGTTGGATTGCCTATTACAAATATAACTTCAGAAACTCTCCCAGTTTCTTAGAGAAGAAAGTGTGGGATAACATTTCTTAACTTTTGATAGAAAAGAAAGGCGGGCCCTGGTGATTTTACAGGCAGAGGATCCAAATTATCTCTCTGTTCATGAGATGATAGGATTAGTTACATGACTATTAATTCTGCTATTAACTCTTTCAACACAAATTCCCATTATTTTTTATAGAATATATTTTCATAGAAAATATGATTATACATAAGCTACTAGCAGTCCAAACTGAGCACTTTCGTGACTTAAATTGTCATGTATCCAAAGCAAGCAAGAAGGAGACCTCTGATATTTACAATGGTGGGTTCCTAAAGCAAATTTAATTTAACCTCATTTGTATATTCAGGAGAGCTGTGAAATGGTGCAGCAAGGATCTTACAGGATGTTTATTTTATAAAGTATTTTTCTAAATTTAAAAAAATGCATATTCACTGTAGTCTTAACTTTGATTTTTTTAAACACTCAAATTCCATTTGGGTCCTGGGCATGCATCTGCCACATGTCTTCCCAAGAAGCACAGCATTGCTTCGGGATGACTAAGTGCCTTTGTCCCAGTGGGGGACTCCAGAAGATACTGTTAATTTCTGTTTTTGGTTAAAATATTAACTGGTACTATTTCCTTGTTCAGACCCGTGAGGAGTGGCAGAATGTGTTCCTCATAGCTGCCTTGGTGCACTACAGTGGCGTCATCTTCTATGGGGTCTTTGCTTCTGGGGAGAAGCAGGAGTGGGCAGACCCCGAGAACCTTTCTGAGGAGAAGTGTGGAATCATTGACCAGGATGAATTAGCTGAGGAGACAGAACTCAACCATGAGAGTTTTGCAAGTCCCAGAAAGAAGATGTCATATGGAGCCACCACCCAGAAGTGTGAAGTCCAGAGGAAGGAATGGAGAGGACAGAGAGGAGTGACCGTCAACGAGGAAGAGCTGACATCCTACCAGAATGAAGGGGAAGGCTTCTCAGAGGCATCCTAATGTCTGAGGGGCACTGCCAGCTCCTCCTCACTTTAGAACCAGAAAGTATCCATACCCATTGTCTTCTCCACAGGCTGGCTTGCCAGGGGGTTAACTCTAGGGACGTTGCATGTGGGGGAGCAGGGAGAGATTTACTCAGCAGTTGGGAAACAGGAAACAACTTGCTCCAAGTTCATAAAATGTATGGCTACAAGTTTTTTGATTGGCAGTTGATTCTTCTCTCAAAGAAAAAACTATTCAGGAAGGAATGATTGGAAGAATAAGAGACAAAATGTCATGTTTTTCAAAGAAAAATGGAAGGAAATGGGGATATTTGGCCTGGAGGAGAGAAAAAAAATAGCTGCTACTACATTTCTGAGAGTAGCCGTGTAGAGGTGGGTTTCCTATTCCTGATAAAGGCCACTGCTTTCAAAGGCCCTGTATTGTGCCAGATGCTTTATTACATTCTCATTTAATCTCCACACCCCATGACATACATTTCTTATCCCTATTTTACAATGAGGAAAAGAAAGCAACAAAAGATGGACTTGCCCAGGGTCATCCTGCCAAAGGCAGTGCTGAGATTGCGTGCATGCATGCGTGCTCAGCCTTGTCCGACTCTTTGCAACACCATGGACTTCAGCCCTTCAGGCTCCTCTGTTCATGGGATTTCCAGAGAAGAATACTGGAGTGGGTTGCCATTTCCTACTCCCAAGTGTTGAGATTGGTGGAGTCCAAAACACATGTCAGTTTTGGAGAAGAAGGTTTTGCTTCAGGTTAGAAGAGATATTTTTAATGATGAAAACTGTAAATGGAGTGTGTTGTCATGTGGATAATTCCCTATCTTGGCAGGCATGGAGGATGGAAAACATTTGGGTTGATGTGGCAGAGAACATTCAAACATCATATGGGGGACTGGATTCAAAGATCCTTAGGGTCCTAGGTAATCTGAGAGCCAAATGAGTCTGTGAATTCATATGAATGTTAAAGTTGCTTGGTTGTGTCCAGCTCTTTATGACCCCATGGACTGTAGCCTACCACGCAACTCTGTCCATGTGATTTTCCAGGCAAGAATACTGGAGTGGGTTGCCATTTCCTTCTCCAGGGGGGTCTTCCCGACCCAGGGATCAAACCCAGGTCTCCTGCATTGCAGGCAGACTCTTTACCATCTGAGCCACCAGGGAAGCTCATAACATGAATTCATACTTTTCTTATATATTTTTTTAAATAACAAGAGTCACAGACTATATGAGAGATTCAAATAGGTTAAAAAAAAAGAAGAGGAAAAATGAAAAACTAAGCAAAATAGTAAAGTTCCAGGAATCTGATGGTCAGAATGGCTGAGAAGAAGTAAACTAAATTTCACCCCTTTGGGGAATTCCCTGGCATCCTGTGGCTAGGACTCTGCCATTCCACTGCAGGGGCCTAGTTCAATCCCTGGTCAGGGAAGTAGGATCCTACAAACTATGTAGTGTGACCTAAAAAATATAATTTAAACCCGTCATAATGTCAAGAATGTGGTTAAATAATGTCCCAAATTACTTGTAAATCTTTAAGGCATTTAATAATTTAAGAAGTTGGTTTATGAATTTTATTAGGTAAAATTCTTAGAAGAGTCCTCTATTAAAAAAAAAAAAGTATGTCTTTAGCCGTTATGGCTGGTGATACTAGGAAGCTTGATCAATTATACAAAATTATGATCGAAATATTCCTAATGATCTTACTCAGAATGATATTCAGGGAAACCACAATAACATAGCAGTAGTTTAACAATGAAATACTAGAACGTAGACATCTGGGACAACCAGATCCATAGTTAGTGCTGAAAAACTTACCTTTGCATAAGGCAATAACATGGATACTCTCTAAATATATTTTAAAATTTAATGATATTTGAAAACAATGTTGGCATGTAAAATGTTGCTTGAAAATAAAATTATTTTCCTTTTCATTGTTTTTGAAAATTTTAATTCTACTATCAGAAGAAAAAGATAGTATTGTAGAAAAAATGGTAGATTTACTTGTAGTTTGTTATTGTAAGATTTTTTCCCTAATTTCTCCCATATATATATATATATATATATTTCTGGTCCCTAACTGTATCAGCAGAATTGTAGTGTATTTTATAAAAAGAATACTTTTGGGGGGAAAATGCCTGAGTGTCTATCAAATAGTATTATTTATGTCATTGGTATATCATTTATGTTATTATATGTATTTAAATCTCTTTAACGAGTGAAACTATGTAACTTAGAACAGTTCCTGGCACATAGAAAGTGCTCAGTAAACATTACTTATCTTTTTGGATTGAGAAGAAAGCATGCTGTTTCATTTTCACTCTTGACAGGATTTATTGTGAAAGTCGTGCCATTTTCTAAGTAAAAAAAGAGAGAGAGAAATTTATGGTAGCCAGTGTTTTCTTTTTTCTTCTGTTAATGACATCAATAGCTATTTTAAGAACGCGTGGTAATCCTTAAAGCAGTATTGCAGATTGTGACACAAAGTTGTACTTACTCCAACATTTGAAGTCAGCAGCATATGTAGAAATTTGATAAATTACTGTGATAAATCAAAGCCTTTAGGGCACCTGTCACTTGTCCTTACAGTATTTAAAAAATGGGGTCCTAAGTCATGGTGTTAAAAACTAGACAACACATTATTTTGTTGTGATGGGTTTAGTGAAGGTTGCAATGAACAAATAATTATATTGGAACATCAGGCAAGTGTATTGAATGGTTTGAAAGTTACTGTACATTTTGCTGCAAATATTCATTTGCAGGTCAGTTCTTAGAGGCAAACTATGGATTCTAGCAAGAAGAGAAGGCGACCTGAGGTGCTAGATTCTTGAGACAAGAAAGTTTGACTGTAGAGAGGGAGGTGGGAGCGGGGATCGGGATGGGGAATACATGTAAATCCATGGCTGATTCATGTCAATGTGTGACAAAAACCACTACAATACTGTAAAGTAATTAGCCTCCAACTAATAAAAAAAAAAAAAAAGTTTGACTGCTCCTTTTTAAACAATGAAAGTTTTGGAACAGGAGCATAACAAGAAAAGTAGGACTTGTTTAAGAAATAATGACACATTTATTATCCCTGCCTGGGTGTTAAATTCAAAGTAAAAATTGGAATCTACTATTTCTATTTTACACTGATTCCTTCTGAGCTCAGCAAACCTTTTCCTCCCTCCCTGCTTCTTATCTCAGTTAATTACATCACCCTTTCACTAAAAAAGTAGCCTTTTCTCTCTTCCCTGCCAGGTCCACTTAATTTTATTTCAATCTGGAGCTCAATGTCTTACATCACTTTTGGAAAATTTTCAGCCATTCTCTCTTACTATACTGCTTTTGGCCCCTTTTTTCTGTAGGAGCTTTCTGAGAATCCAGAATGGATGCTGGTCTGTGGGTAGCACTCTGACCATCACTTCTGCATTTTCCAGGCTTTTTGCCTCTATCTGTGTTATTCTGGGTATCTTCTGACTTATTTTTAAGTTCTTTTATTTCTCTCTACAAGGTTCAGTCTGGTAAAACTCCACTCATTGTGTTCTTAATTTCAGTTATTGCATTTTCAATTTTTGAATATTTAGTAGTTCTTTTTCAATTCTGCTATGTCCTTAAATAAAATATTTCCAGTTCTCTGCTGAAATTTTCAACACTGTATTTTATTTCCTGGAACTCAAGGAACTAATTATTTTAAAGTCTGATCAGTGTCACTACTGGAGACCATGTAGTTCTGTGTCTATTTTCTACTGGTTTTGCTGACTCTTGTTCACAGTATCTTATCTCAGTCTGTGCTTCGTTTTCTTTGATCATATCCTTTGAAAATGGCTTGTAGAATTTTTTAGAAAAAATGTTGGTTTATTTTAGACTTAAAATAATGTGTGTGTGTTTTTTTGTTTGTTTGCTTCCTTTTTCTCCAGAAAGGATTTTCATTTGCTTCTTTCAAGAGCCTGAAGGCGTTAGCAATCTGGACTCTCTTTAATCCAGTTGAAAGGCCTGAGATATTCTGGGCCACCCAGATGATCTGAAGTTGGGCTATAGGCAGTGTGGAGGCTCTTTTTCTTTCAATTCACTCTTGTTCCTGAAATACAATACTTCAGGGTCCCATCCCACACTACTGTGTTTTCCCCAGCATCCAACTTTTATGTCTATACCAGGTTATCAAACTACTCAGATATCAAATAGTAGCTTTGTTATAATTAGCAAATGCTCCCAGGAGAAAAGTGGCCTCAAATGTCAGGCTTACTTCTCTGGACTTTCATCTTCTCCCAGATGGCCAGATGGTGGCCAGGTGATTTTTCACTACCATGATGGTTCCACAATGCTTTTGAGCAGACATTAAAAACATTTTTTGTTGTCTTTTCTAGTGTGGAGTTGGTCTGAACTACCTAGTCTGCCATTAATGGATGCCGAAGTCCCTTTTAATTTTATCTTTACAAGTTCTCTAGAACTAATTTATTTCCCTAGGGTTATTATGGTATTAAATTAAACCTCAAATATCAGCAAATGTTTATTTCTCTCTTGTGTTACCATCTGAGTGTGGGTTGGATTGGGTGAACTGGAGGCTTATTCCAAACAGTCAGGCACCCAGGATTTATTTTTTCTCCACTTGCCATTTGTGGTTCACAATTTGGAACATATAAGCAATTTTTAAAGTATACTTTTCCAGATTCTTTTCCATTATAGGTTCAGTTCAGTTCAGTTCAGTCGCTCAGTGGTGTCCTACTCTTTCCAACCCCATGGACTACAGCACACCAGGCTTCCCTGTCCATAACCAACTCCCGGAGCTTGCTCAAACTCATGTCCATCGAGTTGGTGATGCCATCCAACCATCTCATCCTCTGTTGTCCCCTTTTTTCACGTCTTCAACCTTTTCCAGCATCAGACTCTTTTCTAAGGAGTCAGTTCTTCACATCAAGTGGCCAGAGTATTGGAGTTTCAGCTTCAGCATCAGTCCTTTCAATGAATAGTCAGGACTGATTTTCTTTTAGGATGGATTGGTTGGATCTCCTTGCAGTCCAA